AGGGGGGGGGGTGTGGTGGCATGCACTTGTAGTCCCAGCTACTCAGGAAGCTGAAACAAAAGGATCGCCTGAACCCTGGAGGTCAAGGCTCTTGTGAGCTGTGATTGTGCCACTGCACTCCAGCCTAGGTAACAGAGTGAGACCCTGACTCAAAAAAACCCCAAAAAACCTCTGTAACCACAAGGGGAGCACACATCTCCTCTCCAGACACACAGGGAACGTTCACAGACATCTCCGTGGATTAGGCCACGGAGGAAATGCCTCAAGCCTAGAGAGCAGAGGGTAGGGTCAGGTCACTAAGGGTACTGGCAGGGTGCCCAGTCAGCAGGGTGTTGTGCCATGTGCCACTCTAATTCGTGTGGAACTGTGTTGGATCCAGGAGCTTCTACCTGGCCCTCTACAAGCAGATGAACTTCCTGGAGAAGCGGGGGTGCCCACGCACAGCACTAGAGTACTGCAAGCTCATTCTAAGGTGAGTGTCTGTTCGGGACCAACTGCGTGGTCTTCGCTGCAGTGGCTGCAGGTGTGCGGACACTGTGCTGGCCAACTCCAGCCACTGACGACATCTTCCTCTGCTCTCCTTCTGGATTGCCTCTGGAAGCCTTGAGCCAGATGAGGACCCCCTGTGCATGCTGCTGCTCATCGACCACCTGGCCTTACGGGCCCGGAACTACGAATACTTGATTCACCTCTTCCAGGAGTGGGAGGTAGGTATGTGCCATGCGCTGTCCCATGGAGGGTATCCATTTCTCCTTCACCTTTCTTGGATCAGCATCCAAGGGCAAAGGGCAGTGTGCCCAAAGGGTAGTTTGTGTTGAAGCCTTGAGGGTCTGAGGCAGAACCAGGAGTGATTCTCATGTCCTCCTGCCTTTTGCTGCTTCTGCAGGGTGGAATCCAGTCTTCCTGGAGGGCATTATGGCAGCCCTATGTCAGAATCCTTAAGCCCTGAACAGAAGTGTGCATGCAAGGAAGTGGTGCTGGTAGTCACGGAAGCTGGCAAAGCAATTCATTGTGGTCAGCACACAAGATGCAGCCAGGGGGTAGAGGGAGGGTAGTGTGGCATAGGGAACCCCAGCACACACCGTCCCATGGGAAGGGTAACCCCAGAAATCACAGACAGCTCACATTCACACCAGATTATGTATGCCATGTGAGATCCACATGTGAGGTCACACATGAAGACAGGCCTAGAGCCACACTCCCCATCCTGGGGCCCAAATACTTGGTCCAGGTCAAGTGCTGTGAGTGCTGCTGGAGAGCAGAATGAACTACCTCATCAGTTATGTGTACTGGGGTAATCATTTAGGTGAGTTGGCGTAGATATAATGTATTAAAATTAACTTCACCGATTTTCTCTTTAATGCAGCTACTAGAAAATTTAAACTGAAACATGAGCTCTCATTATGTTCCTACTGGATAGCACTTGTCTGGAAGGGCACTCAAGACTTTGTAATGAGAGGACCTGGAATCCGGGAGAAGGAGATGACAGCTCATGACTTTCTTTGTTACCGTACTTGAATTTTTATTTATTTTTTTTAAGAGACAGGTTTTGCTCTGTAGCCTAGGCTGGAGGAGCGCAGTGGTGCAATCATAGCTTGCTGCAGCCTCAAATTCTTGGGCTTGAGTTCCTCCTACCTCAGTCTCTCAAAGTGCTGGGAATACAGGCACGTACCACTATGCCTAGCTAATTTTGTTGTATATGGTAGAGATGGGGTCTTACTATGTTGCTCAGGCTCGTCTTAAACACCTGGCCTGAAACAATCCTCCTACCTCAGCCTCCCAAATTGCTGGGATTACAGACATGAGTCACTGCACCCAGCCTGTGCTTGAATTTTTTCACAACAAATGTTCATGTAGAATGAAAAAAATAGGTAAATCATTTTGAATTATGTAACATTTGGCATGGTTGGCCAAGAAGTCTCACTTCGGGATCTAGTTTACAGAAATTTCTGTAGCTCACTAAAATGTAGCTGCAGAGAAACCTCAGGGCTGCCCCCCAAGATGAGAGTGCAAAAGAATATTTGCGATAGTTTATGAGGTTTTTTTTGTTTTTGTTTTTGTTTTTGAGTTGGAGTCTTACTCTGTTGCCCAGGTTGAAGTGCAGTGGCACTCTCAGGGCCACCACAGCATTGACCTGCTGGGCTTGGGTGATCCTTCTGCCTCAGCCTTCCAAGTAACCGGAACTACAGGCACATGTCACCATGCCCAGCTAATTTTTTTTTATTTATTGTAGATATGAGATCTCGCCAAGTTGCCCAGGTTGAGGCAGTCCTCTCACCTCGGCCTCCCAAAGTGCTGGAATTACAGACTTAAGCCACTGTGCCTGACCTGATAGTTTATAAGATTACAAAACTCTTCTCTTTTATTTTTAGAGTTGGCCAGGCTGGAGTGTGGTGGCACATTCATGGCCACCCCAGCGACTTGCTGGACTCTGGCGATCCTTCTGCATCAGCCTTCCAAGTAGCTGGAACTACAGGCGCACTGCTATACCTGGCTATTTATTTATTTATTTATTGTAGAGACAAGGTCTCGTCAAGTTGCCTGGGCTGGTCTCGAACCCGCGGTCTCAGGCAATCCACTCGCCTCAGCTTCCCAAAGTGCTAGGATTTCAGGCTGAGCCACCGAGCCCGGCTTTTTGGGTTTTTTTTAATTGGAGTCTCACTCCATTGCCCAGGCTGGAGTGCAGTGGCATGCTCATGGCCACCCCAGCGTTAACCTGCTGGGCTCAGGCAATCCTTCCTCCTCAGCCTTCCAAGTAGCTAGAAATACAGGCACGCGCTACCACACCTGGCTAATTTTTTGATTTATTGTAAGATGGGGTCTCACCATGTTGCCCAGGCTGTTCTTGAACCCGTGGGCTCAGGCAGTCCCCTCACCTCGGCCCCTCAACATGCTGGGATTACAGGCTTGAGCCACCACACCTGGCCTGAAGACTATTCTTAAAAATACAGTAGGTCACATGTCTATTCTATACAGATGTAGAGAAAGACAAGAAAAATTGTTGAAAATGGCAGCCGACTTCTCTAGATAGTGGAAATGGAGGAAGATCCATCGTTGCTGGTTCAGACTTGGCAAATTTTCCGTGTCGAGAGCGCTGAGTCTCTGCTTCTAAGGCAGAGTCCATGGGAAGGACGGGACCTTTGCTCATCATTGCCACTTCATACATCCCACTTAGTGGACACGTCACACCTTCCTGTGTCCTTCTGTCTCTTCTGCACATAGAAAACCCTCCCAGTTGAGCCAGGCATGGTGGTTCATGCCTAAAATCTCAGCTCTTTTGGAAGTGGGGGTGAGAAGATTGCCTGAGCCCACGGATTCAAGATCAGCCTGGGCAACTTGGTGAGACTTTTTCTCTACAATAAATTTTAAAAATTTAGCTGGGCGCAGTGGCTCACACCTGTAATCCCAGCACTTTGGGAGGCAGAGGCAAGAGGATTACCTGCAGCCCAGGGGTTCGAGACCAGCCTGGGCAACTTGGCGAGGCCTCAGCTCTATAATAAATTAAAAAATTAGCCAGGCATGGTGGCATACCAGGTACTTGGAAAGCTGAGCCGGAAGGATTGCCTGAGCCAGCAGCTGGAGGCCACGGTGACCTTGAGCGTGCCACTGCACTCCAGCCTAGGCGACAGAGTGAGACTCCAATTCAAAAAAAAAAAAGAAAGTGAAAAGAAAATCCTCCTAGGTAGAAGTTTAAGTTATCTTTTTTTTTTTTTGAGTTGGAGTCATACTCTGTTGCCCAGACTAGAGTGCGGTGGCATGCTCATGACCACCCCATCGTCTAGACATGTTGGGCTCAGGTGATCCTTCTGCTTCAGCCTTCCAAGTAGCTGGAACTACAGGCTTGTGCTACCACGCCTGGCTAATTTTTTGATTTATTGTAGAGATGAGGTCTCACTGTGTTGCCCAGAATGGTCTCAAACCTGCGGGCTCAGGCAATTCTTTCACCTCGGGCTCCCAAAATGCTGAAATTACAGGCTTGAGCCATCGTGCCCAGCCTTAAGTTATCTTTATGCTAAGTTAAAGGAGATGCCTTTGGGTCATCAAGCCCGTGGTGGGGCTTGTCTAGTGACAGAGCATCTGTGAACGCTACATGTTATGTGTTTATGACCTTGAGGCTCTGTTTCTTCATTCCTCGTAGGCTCTTCGGAACCTGTCCCAGCTCCCAAATTTTGCCTTCTCTGTTCCATTGGCATATTTCCTGCTGAGTCAGCAAACAGACCTCCCCGAGCATGAGCTTAGCTCTGCCAGGGAAAAGGCCTCTCTTTTGATCCAGCAGGCACTCACCATGTTCCCTGGAGGTAGGTACCGTGTCATCTTCCTGGTGGTACAAGCCAGGTCCCAGTCTCTCCTACACTTACAGAAGGATGCATTCACTAGCAGAGCCTAAAAATATGCTATAGTTGCTGTTAGAGGGCGGATCCAGCCATCTCTGAGAGTCTGCTGCTGCCAGGCCAGATGTGAGGAGGCAGCAGAGGAGTAGAACAAGCATTCTTACTTCTATGGGTTCCTGCCTCTATGAGTCCCTGCGTCTGTGGATCCCTGCCTTTCTGGTTCCCCACCTCTGTGGGGCTCACATTCTAGAGTGAAGAGACAGGCAAGATTAACTAGAGGCTGCAGTGTATTAGATGATGTTTGGTATAGGGAGAAAGTGGAGCAGGAAAGGTCTGGGGATTGCCATGGCGTGACTGAGAGGTGGTAGACCACAGTGACCCCGAACTCCAGGGGAGGATTATGCTCCGCGTCAGGCTGGGAGGATGGCAGAGACCCTCTGCTCAAGGGTCCCTGGCAAACCCACAGGAGCCCAAGCTGACCCTGAGCCCTGACTTTGCCCTTGGCACCTCTGTCCACACACACAGGGCAGGCACAGTGAGGCTGCTGCCGGGTCAGACTTTCTCACAGCACGTATGAGACCCCTGTTTAGGATGAGGTTTCCCTGATGGCACTGACTGTGTGGATGAGAGTTGTTTGCATGCATCTGGAGTGCACACGTTAAGTAACCACTTGTCTCCTATTAGATGGTCCTGGAATCAGCATCACCTCATTGGTTCCAGGGGTTTCTTGGGCTCCTTCTAGGCCCCTTGGAGGCATACAGCTTGGGAGCTGGAACTGCTGCCAGCACAGGCAGTACTATGTCCACAGCAGGACCTTGTCAGGCCTCTGTCTACTCACAGACCCAAAAAGGTTCATCTCCTTTATCTGAGAAGTACCTTTGTGCTCCTCTGGGTCACCTGCAGCTGGCAGGGTGCTCTGCTCCAATAGAACAACCATGTTAGGGCATGTGGGACTGGGCAGGACCTGTGTGCTATAGGGCCAAACTGCCTTGCCACCTCACATGGCAGCTGCAGTGAGGCCCATTCCTGACATCCCAGCAGGCAGGCTGTCTTGAGAAGCTGCTGTGTGGCATGCCAGGAGAGCTAAGATAGACTCTACCCCAGTGGGATAGGCGCACGGGGCCCTCACCCCCCTGTGCCAGCCACTAACCTCACCCTGGCCCTGCCCCAGGGCATGGACAGCCCCTTCTCTGGGACAGCCCCTTCTCAGACCAGTCTGCCATGGGGTCTTCCTCTGATTAAAACATCCAACCACATGTCCTTGGAGGGTCATCTCCCTCAGAAGCAGGTGTGGGTTCTGGGAGGCGGGAGAGCAGGTGTCCACTTCCAAGGTTGCAGAGGTTTCTTGGGGCCCCCAGTGGAGACCCTGGGTTTCTCCCAGCAGCAGTAACTCAGGAGAACCCCCTGGCTGTCCAGCCTATTCCAACTGAAAACCACCAAGTTGTGTCTGTGACAAGTGTCTCATGGGGCTGGGACAGGTAGCTGAGGGTTTCACCATGGAGCATTTCTTCCTTACAGTCCTCATGCCCCTGCTCGAGTATTGCAGTGTGCGACCTGACGCCTCTGTCTCCAGCCACCGCTTCTTTGGACCCGACGCCGAGATAAGGTAACGAGTAGAAGGCGCCCTGAGGAGGGCTGGCCTCTGGGGGACCTGTCCATGGGGTGCCCATCTGTGTGCCATCATGAGGTACCTGTCTGGTGCTCATGGTACCAAGCACGGGAGCCATATTCACCCTTCCTGAGAGTCCATGAGAGAATGAACTCCTGGCGGCAGGAGGGGCCCGTTAGGTTCTCAGCCCTGAAAGGTCGGGGTGAACGTGGGGCCATTGTCCCACTGAAGAGGGCCCTGGAATCCCATCTGTACAGGGACTCCCCCACCTCTGTGAGAAAAAGTACTGGTAGATGAGAGAGTGGCATCACCTTAAAACTAAGATTCACAGAGATGCTTCCTGAGGAGAGTGGGGGTCTGGGTCCACATGACCCTCGGGGGTGCTGGGAGCAGGGAGACAGGTGAGCCTGTGGACTCTAGTCAGCAGTACTCCCATGGTACCTATTTTGGCACATATTGCTTTTTCAGATTTCTCATAAAAAATAAAGAGAAAACAGACGTGGAAGAAAAATGCATGATGTGGGGTCAGCCCCCAACCCCCTCAGGGAGCCAGCGCCATCTTCCAGTGCTTGCTCTGCACTGTTTGTGTTTACACTTCTATTGTCAGTCATGCCTCTAAAGAAACAACATACAGCAGGTTCACAGAAGCACAGGTGCCCCTCCCCAGGAGGTCAGGCATTCCAGGTCCAGCAGCCGAGGGGGCTGTGTCCTTGCACTCCAGGCCACTGGGCGTGCCCTGGACGTCTCCTCTGCCCACCAGGGGGCCCTGCTGGCCTCAAGGGCAAGCCCTGGCCGGATAGGGGGTCTGCTTACAGGTGCTGCTCTCCCCCAGCCAGCCCCCTGCTCTGAGCCAGCTGGTGAGTCTATACCTCGGGAGGTCACACTTCCTCTGGAAAGAACCTGCCACCATGAGCTGGCTGGAGGAAAATGTCCGTGAGGTTCTTCAGGTGGTGGATGCCGGGGACCCTGCTGTGGAAGCCTGCGAGAGCAGGTGAGCTGGTGTTCACAGGGGGACGCAGGCACCAAGCCCACCACTTCCCTCCTCAGGGACCCTCATCACAAACATGAAGCCCCTGATTCCAGAGGCAGTGGAGGCTATGAGCAACTTGACTTTCACTACTATGGGGGCCAAGCCTGCAAAGGGCCTATTTAAGGGATAAAAGAGTGAGCGAGTATAGACATGTTAGCACAGGCCCTGACCTGTCCTGGCAGCTCCCCAGAAGGTGGCTGTCATGCCAACACGGAGTTGAAGAATTGGTGTGTGTTGATAATGTGTAATAGTGGTTTGGCTCTCTGGGCACAGTTGCTCACACCTGTAATCCCAGCACTTTGGGAGGTAGAGGCGAGAAGATTGCCTGAGCCCATGGGTTCGAGACCAGCTTGGGCAACATGGCAAGGCCTCGTCTCTACAATAAATCAAAAAATTAGCTGGGTATGGTGGCACGTGCCTGTCATTCCGGCTACTGGAAGGCTGAGGTGGAAGGATCACGTGGGCCCAGCAGGTCAAGACTGTGGTGGCTGTGAGTGTGCCATTGCACTCCAGCCTGGGTGACTCAAAAAAAAAAAAAAAATAGTAGTTTGGCTTAGTGTTTCCTTTTGGCTGTGCATTTTTGTATTCTCACACTTGCTGAGGTAACAGCAAGTCTCATTCACAGCACCTCTGGGATAAATCTCTCCCTCCTGGCAGAGATGCACTCAAGGAGGAACGTAGGAGCAGCCCCATCTATCGATTTCTCACCTTCATGTGAGGTTGTTGGTGGTTCGTAGCCTGACGTGCTTCATTTGAAAACAGTCCCAAGCCGGGCTTGGTGGCTCAGCCTGTAATCCCGCACTTTGGGAGGCTGAGGTGAGTGGATTGCCTGAGCCCTCGGGTTCGAGACCTGCCTGGGCAACTTGGCAAGACCTCATCTCTACAATAAATCAAAAAAATTAGCCAGACGTGGTAGCGCGTGCCTATAATTCCAGCTACTTGAAAGACTGAGGCAGAAGGATCGCCGGAGCCCAGCAGGTTGAGGCTGTGGTGGCCGGGAGCGGCCACTGCACTCCAGTCTGGGTGACAGAGTGAGACTCCAACTCCAAAAAAGAAAAAAAAAAAAAAAGAAAACAGTCCCCCCTGTCTGTTCTTGTTAGTCTACCTTTGCCCGTGGCCCTGAGCACCAACCGTGGCCAGGGTCAGTGAAGACTGAGTGGGAATGTCACCCACCTGAGCATCTACTTATCTACAGTGAAGTCTTTCGTGGACCTAAGGAGTTGCCCCAGGAGGCAGTCATGTAAACACAGTGCTCTGGTCTGCCCTCCCACAGGGCTCGGTACTTCTTGTGGGCAGGAACACATTTTGTTCCCTGTGCTGCCCTCCAAGAGCAGTTTCCAGCAGGTATCTGTGCCCATAGTTTTAGCAGTGAATGATGACATGCCCAATGTCCCTTCATGTAGACTCAGTGACTCCCCATGAGAAGCCATTGGCCATGACTGTTCTTATTCTTATGGACAAAGAGGCTGAGTCACAGTCACATGGCTGGGATTTGCCCCTAGAGCCTCCATCTCCATGGACCTGGAGCTGACTGTGCCGCCTCTGCTTAGGGGTGACATGTGAGACTCTAGGCAATATCAGAGACAGAGTGAGCAGTCTTGGGCAGGGGGACTTGGTGTTTTCCAAGCCATTTCACTTGCTGTCCCTTGCTTTTCCTCTGGCCTCAGGCGGAAGGTGCTCTACCAGCGCGCACCCAGAAATATCTACCGCCACGTGATCCTCTCTGAGATCAAGGAAGCCGTTGCCGCCCTGCCCCTGGTAAGGGAGAAGAGCTGAAAATGGGATCCTTGTGTGAGCCAGTCACGTGCACTCGCCTGCCTGCTCCAGCAGCCCACCCACAGGCATGCGCAGCGCAGGCATCCTCACCACCCAGCTCTGCCCTGGCAGTGGGGGGTGGAGTGTTATGCAGAGGGCTCCTCCCCAGCAGCTAGGGTTCAGATGCTTGGCATATCAAGAGGCAGATCCTCCCGGGACTCAGAGCACAAGCTGGGCCCTCAGACCTATCACCACTGTGTGCTGTGGCCTTGGTGAGCCACTCCATCCATGGTTTCATGACTGTGGTGCTGTGGGGATTTTTCCACATCATGGGGTATGGTCCTGCTCGGTCTTGGAGCTCATGTGCTGGAGGTGCTGTGGAAACATCAGCTGGTACTCCTAGAAAACCTAAAGAGAAACCTTACTAAGGAATTAGAAGGAGTTAGGAAAACAGCAAGTCAGAGGGAGGCAGAGTCACTTACTCATCAGTTGAGGGCACCTTGGTGCCTCCTGTTTTAACTTTGGGCAGGTCCTTACAACTGGCACAGCAGGCCTTGTCTTGGGCTGTGAGCTTCCTACTCATCAGTAGAGCAACAGCAAGTGACAGCTGAGGGGTGGACAGTGGGGAGCTGCATGCAAGCGGTGGCTCAGTGCCCACAGTGAGGTTAGTCATGCAGGTCTACCTCAGCTGTCTTGAGTGTCCTGTTGGAAGAAAGGTTGTCCCACTCCCTTATCCAACATTTCTTGGTACAAAAGTGCAGCTATTTCTTCCAGGGTTTTTTTTTTTTTTTGAGTTGGAGTCTCACTCTGTCATCACAGGCTGGATGGAGTACAGTGGCATGCTCACGGTCACCACAGCCTCGACCTGCCGGGCTCCAGGCAGTCCCTCCATCTCAACCTTACAAGTAGCTGGAACTACAAGTGTGTGTCACCACACCCAGCTAATTTTTTATTTATTGTGGAGACGAGGTCACACCTTGTTGCCCAGGCTTTTGCAGGCTCAGGCAATCCTCTCGCTTCCACTTCCCAAAGCACTGGGATTACCAAGTATGAACCACTGTGCCCAGCTAAAAATGCAGCCATTTCTGTCAGACTCTGGCTGTCTCTCAGCAGATACATCCAGTCCAAACGGGAGGCAACTGAAGGGCTCTGCTGGGGGAGGCAGAAGCTCCCTGGCAGCATCTGTAGCATCTCCATTTTGTGTCCCTTTCTGAAGGATGTGACCACGCAGTCTGTGATGGGCTTTGACCCTCTGCCACCTCCGGACACCATCTACTCCTACGTCAGACCAGAGAGGTATCGTCCATTCCCGCTTTGCTCTTGGCTTGTACAGCTCTGAGGTCAGTGCTCAGGTCTCATGGGGACTGGCTGCCTCCTCCAGACCCAGATGCTCAGAAATCAGGCACTGGATTAAGTCTTTCCCTTAATGGGGAGGGAGAAAAGAGGGACAAATCTGCCTTTGCAGGCTATGTCCTTTGACTTCGCTGTTGAAGGTGTGAGTACCTCTCTGCCAGGTTCTGTGGAGAGTGCTAGAAGTACAGTGGGAAGTAAAATAAGAACCCACCTCTGCCCTTGTGGGGTGCTCAATGAACTGGGGAAAGAGCAAGGCACCACACAGTGGCAGCAGGTAGCCAGCATGGCTGTGGTGGCCTCTGCTCCCTGTGTGGCTCAGCAGTCTGGGCTCTAGAGTTCCATGCCCCACAGTGGAGTCCCTTCCCTGCTAGGGTTTGAGCTGGTCTCTCCCTGTCCCTCTTCGGGTCTCCACAGCCTTACCCTCACTCATGAGCACTCTTCACTGCCTGCTGCTGCTACCGCTCCAGGCACCGGCTGTGTGGGAGTCTCCCTGTCCCTGGGGATGGGGTTGCTGACAGGCATCTTTATGAGCCAGCTGGACCCCACAAGTGTCAGTTCAACTTGATTTTCTGACCTTTCTTGATTTTCTCTTTCAGGATAAGTACCGTCAGCCAGGGAAGCACAATCGCTCTCTTCTTTCGATCTTTGTTGCCAAATTATACTGTGGAGGTAGGTTGAGCTCATCCTAGGACTCCCTACCTATGGGCACAGGTGAGGCCATTCCAGTGAGAATGTCTAGAGCCCTCCTCGAGCCAAATCTGTGCCAGGCAGTGCAGGGGACAGGGAGAGATCAAGACGCATCTGTCAGTGGGTGTCCCCCTACTGGGATAGTCAGGTTATGCCCAAAAGGTAGCGGCCAGGCCAGGTGCAGGACCCCAGGAATCATCATGGCTGCTTGGAACTCACCCTGGGCCTGGCTTGGGTAGACATGTCATTTGGTTTTGAAGCTTACTCTTCTCACAGGTACCTGGGGAGGGTTCAGACCCAGTGCTGGGGGCAGAGGCACCTCAGGCTCTGTGGCACCTTTCGACTTGAGCCCTGAGTCTCAGGCCCAGCACGGGCAGCCCCTGCTCAAGACACGTCCTATTATTGCAGGGGGAGAGGCCCGAGGAAGGAGTGGCTGGGGGTCTGAACCGCAACCAAGGCTTGAACAGGCTGATGCTGGCTGTGCGCGACATGATGGCCAACTTCCACCTCAACGACCTGGAGGGGCCGCAAGAAGATGAGGCGGAGGCAGAGGCGGAGGGGGAGGGGGAGTGGGACTGAGCGTGCAGAACCCTGCGCTGTCACTTATGTTCCTGGTTTCTGTTCTGGTTGGAATCGGCCAGTCACTGAAGTAGAAATGCTGACTGTGTCGTCGACCCGTCTTCTGTTTCTCTATAAATGTCACTGGGCCATGCTCTGCCTTCGTGAGCTCCTCTTCCAGGCGCCGTGCACCCTTGAATTCATACTGGCATTGAGTGCAGCTTCCCTGAGTACCCGCACCATGTGCTGCACTGTGCAGCCTGCTCTCCAAGAATTTGGGACCCAGAGGTGGAGAAGAGGTCTCACAGGGTCTCCAGTGCTGACTGCCAAGACCCCGGTTGCTCCTTGTTGTATAGGGTCTTGGGCCTGGGCCAGAGCACAGGTGCCTGGTCACAGTCACCTTAAGTCCCACAGTCCTGTTCTTCCTGAGCAGTTGGGAGCTGACTGTTGAGGTCCTTCAGCTGAACGCTACATAGTAGGGGTAGGGCATTGGACCTGGGGGTGAGCAGGGCCCTCTGACCAAGACTCCAGCCCAGGGAGTGGTTGGGCCGGGGCGTCGCCTCAGCTCCCATAGTTAATGCCGCACTGAACCTGTGTACCCTGTGGTGCTGCAGCCATAGGAGCAGAGGCTAAGGGCAGACAATGCATCAGAAGTCCACTCGGGTTGGGTGCAGGAGCTCATGCCTGTCATCCCAACACTTTGGTAGGCCGAGGAGAGATGATTGCCTGAGCCCAGGGGTTCAACACCAACCTTGGCAACTTAGCGAGACTTTGTCTCTACCGTAAATCAAAAATATTGGCCAGATGTGGCAGTGCTCGCCTGTATTTACAGCTACTTGAAGGTGGAAGGATTTGAGCCCAGCAGGTCGAAGCTGTGGTGGCCATGATTGTGCCACTGCATTCCAGCCTGGGTGACAGTGAGACAGTCAAAAAAAAATCAAAACCACTCGGTACTGGAAGGGTAGAGAAGGGTAGTTTCCCCAGCAGCCCCTCATACTCCTGACCTTCACCCCCCAGGGAGCAGCAAATGAGGGGGCAGGAGGAGGCACTGGCCCAGGCTCCAGAGCAGCCAGTGAGGTGGGAGAGGCCCTCCAGCTCCACCTACTAACCTCCCAGAAAGCTCCCCTTAGTCACAAATTTGAAGCCATCTAACTTGGGGCTCACTGAGATCTGTGAGGTCATCCTCTCAGTAGTTCCCAATGTCACCTGACTGGAGGGGCTCGAACAAGAACATCCCCAGGGGTTGAGCCATGTGTGCTCTCTTCAGATGTGTCCTGAAGATTACAGCCCTGACTCTGGACTGGTGGCTTTAAAAGGGGTGTAACTAGGTCACTGTGACCAAGCCTAAGGTCTGCCAGGCTCTTCCCTTGGCTCTGCAGTGGTGGTCGTGTCGATGGGAGTCAGTGCTACAGCCTCACTCCTTCCAGCAAGTGAACTGCTGGAGCTGTCCAGCCTGGGACCTGTGGGTCAGCAGGTGCCTCCAGCGAGGACAGGCCTTAAACACTGGTCAGTTGTCACCCGTCCTTACTCCTTGTCCCTGGATTGGGGGGGTCATCACCCAGCTCCAGGGAGCCTGTCTTGAGTCCACATGTCCCCACCCTCCACAGCCAGCGTGACCTGTGGTGAGCTCCAGCCACAAGACGGGTCTGCTGAGGGAGGTCTTATGGGAGGGGTTTGTTCTGTGAAATGGGTGAGCAAGGAGAGCTTAGCCCCTTGCCGCCTCCTCACAGCCTTAAGCCCATGTAGGTGGGGTGTGATGGTTGGAGCTGCACTGAATTTTAAGAAGAGCCAGCATTTTAGGGACAGCGCAGCAGAGAGGTAGAGCCTATGCCTGCTGTCCTAAGAGCTTTGAATCACCAGTGCCTCAGCAGTGCTGCTGCGGTTTATGTAATTACTTGCAGGAAACTGATTTCCAATGGCAATGAGAGAAAACAACCAGGTCCCTCACATCTTATCTAAATAACTGCTTCACTCCCCCCCCACGCACACATTATTTGTTTATGTATGTATTTTTGGAGGCAGGGTCTCACTGTTGTCTAGACTTCTCAAACCCTGACCTAAAGCAGTCCTCCCACTTCAGCCTCCCAAAGCTCTGGGATTACAGGCATGAGCTACCACACCTGGCCTAAAGAACTGCTTTAAAAGCTTGGCCTGCCACCAGTGTTGGGGTGTGGATTCTGGCTCCTCCCTGGCCCTGCTTAGCCCCAGCAAGAAGTTGAGGCATCCAGGGTCTGCTGGTGTCCACGGCAGGACTGCTCCTTAGCCATGCCTTCTCACTGAGTCAGACTACCCCTGAATGTCAGTGCACCATGGATGGGCACAAAGAGAAAACCTCGCCACCCACGCCTCTACCCCCAAGTTCAAAGGAGACCCAGAAACCAGGCCCTGTCTGGCCTTCCTGAGCAGCTGCGCTCAATCCCTGAGGAGACCAGAGTGCAAGTTCATGACTGCTCACGGCCACAGGGCCTTCATGGAAGAAGCAGGCCTGGGGTGACCCCAGCTTCCAGTTGTGACCTTAGCTAGACAAGCTACCTGGCCTGCAGAGACCCCCACAGCCTGATACCCGCATTGGGTTTGGGCATCTGTGTAGCAGCCCATGGGTGCCAGACGCTTGGTGATCAAGGCCAGGAAGGCACCTGTTTCAGTCTCCTCAGGGGAGACTGGCCCAGAATCGTCTAAGCTGATGGAAGGCACTCTGCAGGAAACATGCCTCTGTCCAGGGGGAGGGCCTGTTTGCCTCTGTCTCCCTCGAGTGGTTGGGTTTCTGCCTCATGTCTCCTGATAGCTCATCACACTTCCTCTAGGAGCATGGAGTCCAAATTGAGATATAATTAGTGTTGGAATTACCTGACCCTGCTGGGGTGCAGTGGCTCAGCCTGTAAACCCAGCACTTTGGGAGACCAAGGTGAGAGGAATGTCTTGAGCCTGGGGGTTCAAGACCAGCTTGGGCAACTTGATGAGACCTTGTCTCTACAATAAATCACAAAAATTAGCTGGGTGTGGTGGTGTGTGTCTGTAGTTCCAGCTACTTGGAAGGCTGAGGCAGAAGGATTGCCTGAGCCCCTTAGGTCAAGGCTGCGGTGGCCGTGAGTGTGCCACTGCACTCCAACCTGGGTGACAGAGTAAGACTCCAATTAAAAAAAAAAATGTTATCTGATCTCATCTATTCAAAGATAATCCTAGGGCTAATTTATCTCCCCCAGGATTGTGACAGATCCAAAAGGACTTTTCCAGCTCAGCTGGACCTCTTATCTCCTTTTCGCTAAGCCCACATGGGTATATTGAGAACCAAGGCGGGGTCCTGCCCAGGTTCATCCCACTTCCAGTGCCCTCCAGCTGCGGAAGAAGGCTGTGGTTGCTTCTGCCAAAGGCTGCCCGTTTCTCATGCCCTTTGAAGTCTCAGGCTGGGTGGGTGGGGGTGGAAGGCTGCGGTGAACCGTGTCCATCTCAAAGGCCCCATTATGGAGCTGGAAAGACCAACATCCCTGAAGTTATGACATGGTAAGCCAGGGCAGGGAGGGGGCTGCTCACCAGTTTATGCCCAGAGGTGAAAAGTGCAGCAACTGGACCCTTGGGGGCTGCCATGGGTGCCCTAAGTTCCCTGTAGCAGGGACACGGCCCTCATGCCAAGAGGGCACCCACCTTCCCCAGCCATGGCTCTGCCTCCCAATCACATCTGGGGATCCTTCACCCCCTTTTGCCAGTTCTTAACTGTGAGCAGAGTGTGAGGGCAAAGGTGCAGGAGGCCAAGCAGGCTGACCATTGCACTGGGTCCTGTGGAGGCACAGGACAGGCAGGCACATTTGCTCACCTAGGTGAGCGGTGCGGAGTGCAGGGACTCCTGCACTGCCAGACACAGAGACAGGCCTACCAATTTGCAAAATGGTTTGGCCAGATCTAATGCTGAAGTGAGCCTCTGCCCAAGCAGGCACCCCTGAGTGTCACCTGACAGAAACACCCACCTGCGTCTCCACATATGGTTCGAGAATGTCCTGGCAGCACTGCTTGTCAGTGTCCAGAAGCCACCCCAAAGCCCAATGTGGCCATCCACGTAGTGGACAGTGCAGTCAGGGTGAGGGAATGTGGATGCCTGCAGCGGCTGGTGGGCCTGTGTTCTGGTGTGGCGCTGTTTCATGGACCTGGGTGTGGTGTTCATGGCTGTACTCAGGTTGGGATATCCATCAACCTGCATGTTTATCATTTGTGTACTCTTATGTCTATCTTACTACAATGAGTTAAAAGCAAAAATAAAACAAAGGAAGGGAGATGTGTGCATTGTTAATCCAGATTTAAGACTTGATTCCTGTTTTCTGTGTTTGTGGATGTTCCCATGTGCTCACACACACAGGTAGCATGGCGAGTAGTGGTGTGGGCATTTTGTCGTCAGGCAGGCAGATGGCAGGGAATGGACTTAACAGGAGTGTCACACATACAGATACTTGGAAAATACAGATACTCCTGTCTGGCTTCTGCCTGCATCTCCACATGTTCGTGTGGACTTTGAACAATGGCTTTCTCCACCTGTAAATGGGAGGAGGAACTCCATCCCCTCCCATCTCCACCTTCGGAAGGGGGAGTTTTGTTATCTCAGAGCTGTCTTCAGTGAGAAAGTGCTGGGCTCTGCAGGCAGTCCGACTAGATGCCCATGGTGGGTGCCGACATCCCCCCTTCCTGCTGGGCCCTGTGTCCAGCCACTGTGAGAAGCTCATGGCACACCACGTGGCCGAGGCCCCCGAGAGGAGAGGCCAGAGCTCTGCCCTTGATGTGGCTCCTGACTGGGGCCAGCCGTGTCCTTCTGCAGCGGAAATGGGGCGCCATCAGGGAAGGGTGGGCGGCTGCGTCCCAGTGCCCCCGTGAGGACGAACTAGTGCAATGTGACTGCAGGACCTTGCAGAGGCCACCAGGATGCCCCAGCCAGCCAGCTCCCAGGAAGCGAGTACACCCCAGTACCGAACTGAGGGAATCGCTGCTCTGGCTACAGCAAGGCTGGATGCTTGAGGGGCAAGGGCCAGAGTGGCCTCAGGCTCTGTGGGACATCTGGAAAGCATCAGCTCTTCTGTGGCTCACAGGTCCACCTGAGAAGGGGCTTTGGGCTCTTTTGCCTCCTGCCCTGACTGGAAGCCCCCCACCAACCACCCCCAGTGAGGATAGCTCCTGCAACACTCACATCGTTTCTGAGATTTTAATTACAGGATCTGCCTTGGACGTGTCTCAGCTGAGAGCAAGGGCACAGGTAGGGTGAGGTGGGGCTGGGGGTGCCGTTAGCACCATCAACGGCCCAGGACAGAGCAGCACCAGGCAGGCAGGATGGAGGACAGCTTCCAGGAGGCGCTGGAGATGGGTCTGAGAAGAGCTAGACACTTTGCAGATAGGGGTGTACAGGGCAGGTCCAGGGAGGCCTGGGACACCTGGTGAGGCGGGCCTCGCGGAGCAGTGGCCATGCGGGGGCAGGGGGAGGGACTACGGAATGCACCAAGGAGACAGCCTGATGTGGGCAGGAACCTCTGGGTGCCCCCACACGCCACCTGGTGGCAGGCCGGGTGTGGTGCGGGGTGTGGTGGCTCTCACGCAAGTCCCTGGCACACGCCCATCATGTGGCTGGCCACAGAGGGAGGGGCTCCGAGGCCGACTTTAAAGATGCAGAGAAAGGCTGTATTCTTCCCCAGACCTCAGCCCACCCCTGGCCAGGGAGGCAGGAGACCCAGAGAAATGTCCCAACCTGAGCAGCCTCTGAGGGAGAGGCAGGGAGAGGGGCTGAGGACCAGGTCATGAGACTCCCTGAGCCCAGAGGGTCGATGCCACAGAGCTCCAGGTCCTTGCCAGGAAGTGTCCGGGCTGACTGGGCCATGCCTGGGCAGACTTGTCCAGCCAGGGAGAGGGTGAGTGAGGGCAGACTGGGGGGTGCCTAGATGGAATGAGGCCAGCACGGGAGACACCCAAGCCCCCCAGCAGCACCATGAGCTGAGTGGGTCGTCTGCAGAGTGAGCAGTGGGAATCCAGGGGCTCCCCGACCCCATCCCCGCCCTGGATGGGACTATGCCTGTGCAGGGGTCCCAGGGGAGGCTGCTGGGCTCCCTCAACGCCACCCCCACACCCCCCCTTGACCTGGGGCCGGCCTCCAATCAGACGGGCCCCTGGTGCCTGGAGGTGTCCATCCCAGATGGCCTCTTCCTCAGCCTGGGGCTGGTGAGCTTGCTGGAGAACGTGCTGGTGGTGGTCGCCATCGCCAAGAACCGGAACCTGCACTCGCCCATGTACTGCTTCATCTGCTGCCTGGCCCTGTCTGACCTGCTGGTGAGCGTCAGCAACGTGCTGGAGACAGCCGTCATACTGCTGCTGGAGGCGGGTGTGCTGGCGGCCCGGGCCTCCGTGGTGCAGCAGCTGGACAACGCCATCGATGTGCTCATCTATGGCTCCATGGTGTCCAGCCTCTGCTTTCTGGGTGCCATCGCTGTAGACCGCTACATCTCCATCTTCTACGCGCTGCGCTACCACAGCATCGTGACGCTGCCCCGGGCACGTCGGGCTGTCGCAGCCATCTGGGTGGCCAGTGTCCTCGCCAGCACCCTCTTCATCGCCTTCTACGACCATGCGGCTGTCCTGCTCTGCCTTGTGGTCTTCTTCCTGGCTATGCTAGTGCTCATGGCTGTGCTGTACATCCACATGCTGGCCCGGGCCTGCCAGCATGCCCAGGGCATCGCCCGGCTTCACAAGAGGCCACGTCCAGCCCGCCAGGGCTTCTGCCTTAAGGGCGCCGCTACCCTCACCATCCTGCTGGGCATCTTCTTCCTCTGCTGGGGCCCCTTCTTCCTGCACCTCACACTCATCGCCCTCTGCCCCCAGCACCCGACCTGCAGCTGCGTCTTCAAGAACTTCAACCTCTTCCTCGCCCTCATCATCTGCAACGCCATCGTGGACCCCCTCATCTATGCCTTCCGCAGCCAGGAGCTCCGCAAGACGCTCCGGGAAGTGCTGCTGTGCTCCTGGTGAGCGACACCACCGTGCGGCCTGATTCCTGTGTGACCCTGGGCAGTCCCTTTCCTTCCTGGTCCCTGTTTGCCAGAGAGGATGGACTGAGTGATCTCTGAGGGTGCTGAAGCCGGATGCCCAGGACCAGGGAGACGAATCTGTGCACGTCTCCGGGCAAGAGTTCTCACAGCAGTCGTGGGGCATGGAGGAAGCTAGGGAGGTCGAGGGCCTCGGGCAGCCCTCGGGGTCCTGGAGAGATGTTCTCTGCCTTCCTTGCAGAGTTCTGCCCCCACCCCATGGCTGGCACCACCCACACCCACCCGGCTCTCTTTGCTGCCAACTCTCAGGACCTGTGCCCTCATCGGCTGGGACAAGCTCCATCGAAGAATCGAGGAGTGCTGCGCCTGCAATGGCCTCACAGAAGGGGCTTTGTGAACAGAAACACGGCCACAGGCAGGCAGCAGCTACTTCAGGGGAAAGCAACTCCCCGCCTCGGGCAGAGGGGCCAGGTTTGCCAGATCTCCACAGCAGGCATGGCTCTTCTAAAGGCCAGTTCCAAGGCTCGACGTGGTGAGAGGTCTGGAACACAACCTGTTTGCACCACCCACCCCAGGCAGTCAGCTCTGGCAAGTGCCTGCTCTGGCCAAGCGGTGTTCGTTGGCCTGAATCAGTGAGCTCAGAGCTGGGAGACGGCTTGGTAATAAATGTGCTGAGACGCAGTCCTATCGCCATCCACCTTGGCCAGAAATTGCTTGGCGTCTGAGGGTGGCGGAGGGAGGGGAAGAGGGCAGCGACGGGAATCCAGAGAGTGAAGAAGGGAGTCCCAGAAACCACAAGCTGCCTTCTCAGGTGAGGAAACCACAGCTCCAAAGGGCCCACGTGCCTGGGGGAGTGTGGAGGCCCTGTCAGGGACACTCTGTTCCTGCTTTCTCTCTGTGGGTACAAACCCCAGCCCAGAGCAAGGTATACTAGGTCCTCATGACCCAGTCACCTCCATGGTGACAGGGACACTGTCTAGGCTGCCCAGCCACGTACTGCAGGAGAGGCAGGACCACCGCGGCCCTGCCCTTCTTTTGCCCAAGTGTGACCTCAGCCAGAGCATGTCCCTTTCCTGGCCCTGGCCCTGAAACCCTTCAGCCATGACATGCCATGAATGGGTCATCCTTGTCCCCTCTGAGATGTCCTAAGGCACTCACAGTGCAGGTGGGCCAGGGGCTAGGTCTGCTGTCTGCTCAGTGCTGTCCTTCTGGGAATGGGGCCTGGGAAGTACTTGAGGCAAGGCATCTGAGGACGAGGTGAGGCTGCGCAGAGGCTTGTAGTGTGGACAAGCCCCGGGGCAGTGGGTATGTAGGGTGAACCATGCTGTCTGCCCCTGGGGAATGAGGGGACCCTGGCCCCTCCCTCTGATAAAACTTGGGCCTCTAGCAGAAGAGCCCACCTCGACTTCCTCCACAGACACCAGCACGACCCCACCCCTTCCTAGGGCAGGCGCCACAGAGGCTGCAGAGGTACCAGCCAACTGCGAGGCAGGTCCAGTAAGCAGCCTCCTGGTTAGCCCCACCCATGCTGTCTGTGCACCCCCGACCGCTGGCATCAGGGCTGTGAGCTGTTCCCGGCAAGGCCAGCCTTTGCTGGGAGACAGGACAGTGAGTCAGCCATAAACCTGGCACCAGGCCCTCTGGGGACAGAGGAGGAACCGGCTGGCCCTCTGCCATCCTGGCAGGGAGGCAGTCCCGGCCTGCAGGATGCTGCAAAGCTTCTTCCCTTGCTGAGGCCAGGAGGCACAGCCAAATACTCACCCAGGACCCCTTGAACAGGGACAGGGAGGGGCCCCAGGCAGCTGGAAGCCAACCACAGAAAGACACATCATGAACACATTGTGGGGGAGGGGCGTCTCCTGAGAACAAAAGCCCCATTTCTAGACTTGCCGAACTGGGGAGCTTCTCTTTTGAGAAGAGACACATGTACCCAGCCACACCACCCAGACACACGCCTGTGCTCACAGACGGCACACGAGCCCCATGGGCTTGTGCTCAGCTGCTCATTTTGTGAAATGAATGCCAATTATTTGTGGACAGTCCCTACCCTGTGGCACTGAGCCCCTTCTCGAAGGATTTTTGTTACTGAAATGTCATAAGGACCTTATGAAGAGGTGGTGTCACTGTGACACCCGACCCCAAGAGAGTATTAGATCAGTGGTGTGCACATGTATAGTACCACGCGTGTCCATCCCGTCCCCTCCCTCCTCTGAGGAGTGGACTGTCATTTCCAGCTGTCCTCCAAGGGCCCCCTGCACACACCAGGGAGTGAGTCAGATAGAAGCCACTGCCCACCACCCCACCTGGTCGGTCCCTCGCCCGGCCGTGTCCTTGTGACAGTTCCTGACAGGGCAGTGGCTGCGAGCCAGGATGTCCAGGACAGCCCAGGGGTGGGGTGGGGGGGAAGGCAGCGTTCCCACTGCAGAAGAGAGAGCGCATAGCCTGATCCTCACCCTCACCCTTCTGCACCCAAGCCCTCCACCCACCCAGGCCTTTCGAGCCCTGCCCGGAGGCGTCTTTCTTCTCAGCGGGTTCGGGCCCTGCTTTTTCCCTTCCCCCAGCCCAAGGGGCCCAGCAACGCTCAGCGTACCTCGACTGCCACAGGACAGGAAGCTCGAGGACGGGGGTTGGTCCCCAAACCGGAGTGGGGAGGCCAGACCGCCTCACAAAGCCGCAGGGCGGGGCTGCG